GCAGCACCGAGCAGCAGCCTGCCGGGAAGGTGTTCGGGTAGACGGGTAAATAGGCAGATATAAGATGGATAGGTAAAAACAACTTGTGCGAGGGATATGTCACACACCCACCAGCACAGTCCGCCCCTCAAAAAGTCACTTCGGCAAACTGTCGTGTGCGAAGTTCTCTCCGAGGACCCTCAGCAAAAGACCGTCACCCAGAAAGCCCCTCCTGACTCCGCAGCAGCCCCAAGGGGGCTCAGATGCTTTCCCCGAGGTGTGACTCCGGACACTGTGCTGGTTTCTAAAATATGCCCGAGTAGTAACAGGGTATGTGCTTGTTAGGTCCCGGCAGAGCTGCATCTTCGCTTACCCTGCTGCAAACCCTCCCGAGGGCTTGCTGTCCCGTTTGCTGTGGGAGCGTCGGCAGGGAAGGAGTACCGCTATTTTCCACATCTGTGCTTTGCAAACCCCCTTCCCTTGAGGTGGAACAGGGGCTGACAGGCTAGTTTTAAGGGGGCATAAAAATAACTAAGTAAAGTAAATCTGTTGTTAGGCTGGTTAATATGCAAAATAAGGGTCTGCACTTCCGTAGGGAACTCTGGAAAAGCTTGGAAACCAGTAATCTAGAACACTAAACCCAGCGTGTGGTCACGCTCTCAATATCCAGTCTTCTGGTACTTTGTCTGAATAAGACTGACAGAATTGGGTTCTACGTTTTCAGCTTTCTGTAAAGACACCGCAGACAACAGGAAGCTAAAACATGCACAAACTTAAAAGGAACTGACTTTCTTGCTACTTTCTATACACTATCCTTGATGCAGTTACTGTGTATTCAGCAAACTTAAATATCTGCTTGTTAGTGATCTCCAATAAACATTTATTTTGTGGCATGGTTTTTGCCTGCTTTTAGTTTAAGAAGTAATCCTACTGAGAGAAAGACTGTTTATTTGCTTAATAAGCCTTTCATAAACAAAGTATTTTTAGAAATAGTATTTTTAGTAAGACATTTTCTGTAAGCAGACTGAGGAATTTTAAGCTACCTAAGTGTGTGAGAAGCAAGTGTGATGAATGAGACACCTACCATTAGACTCGCGTATTTATTACATTGGTTTTGCCAAATACTATTGCTATCAGAAAGTTGTTCTTCTGGTCCGAACACAGCGTCTTCCATGCTCACATCTCGTTGGGCAGGTATTTATTGTCAGTTGGAGCTCTGTATAGGCTTACTTCTTAACAGAGAACCAGCTGCTCTTTGGGGACTGGCTTACAAAAAGCTTATTAAGAAACTGTAAATCGACTGTACTTTTCATCAAAATGTTTTCAAACAGACCGCTAACTATTCACATGCAGGTAACTTGATGACATCTCCGAGCTAAAAATTTTAAAAGGTAGTGGAAAAAAGGTATTACACTGTTAACAGCAAAATCTAAAAATTATATTTAGGGGAAAAATTGTTTCTCTAGGGTGAAGAGGCCTGCATACACTGTCTAGTTAACAGATCTCATTTACAGCTTTTTTTCTCAATTGCCAGATCATTAGTATGCAATGAGACAGCAACAGACATTGCAAGATGTGTAATGAAAGTGTAGAACCAAAATTTCTCATTATGAACAGTAATGTGCATTTGCTGTTACAACCTGCTATTATATAGATTTTTGGAGCCAGGTAAAGGCATTGTGAAGATCTGGTCTGATCTGTGGTGTTCACCCGGTGACCCTGGAAGCAAGGTCCCAAATCCTGTATCTTTAAAAAGGACATGCAACTCTTAAAGATTGCAGTGTCTTGTCAATGGTTAACCAATTTCACCCATACAATCCCAACAATTTCTTCTCCATGGCTGGGGTGTTAATCTGAAAAACTGCACACAGCTCTCTTTTGTAATACAGAACTTTCTTGACAAGGCTACGTACATTTAATTCTTTTAATATTTCCTCATAAATTGCTCCGCTTCACTCATTCATTGCTATCTCCTGAACTGCCTCCTGAATCACCAGAGTTGTTCTGGTAGTGAATGCCCAAAAATCAATGCACTGTAGGCAGGACCCCTCTTGTCCACGCTGGTAGGACACCCCTCAAAGCATGAATTTGACTATTTGAAACTTCCATCAAGCCGCCTGCCCCATTTCAGCGTGTCTCAGACATCCTGCTCTCCAGCTTCTTTTCTGCCCGTAAAGAGTTACAGTGCAATTGATTTCTGCTCTGTGGATAAAGGGTCTTTTTTCTTTTTAACTTGCATTTTAATGTCTGCGATACCTCACGCTGTTTCTGTCTTCAGTGGTGTTGCAGCAGTTCCCGTTGTTACCATCTGCAGATTTCATTAACATACCGTTTATGCTCCCTATTCCAGGTCATTAATAATAAAGATATTTAGTCTGGCTCTACTTAACCTTCCCCTGCATATCTCCCTAGGCACCTGCTCCCAGCTGTTTAACACTGCTTCTTGTAATCCTTCTGCTCACACCACCATTCAGTTGAAGTCAATGGAAATTTTTTCATATCAGCATTTGTGAGAAAGAATCAAATCTATTACTTAAAGATCCGTCTGTAACATTCACTCTACTGCATCACGTATATCCAAGTTGGTCATTCTATTTAAGCGTGGAAGAATTAGGTTTGACAGACTCAAAGTTCAGATAATCCTTGTGTCGCTTCTTTCCTTCTCTTTGTCCAGTGCTTACTGTTTATTTTCTATTACTTGGTCTTTAATTTGGTTATACAAAAATCAAGACTTACATCATTTTTGGCTTGCTATTACCTAGAGATACAGGACTTGCACGTGGATTGCACCACAGATCCATCCGGTCCATGATCCTGCTGCTGGCAGCAACCAACAGGTGCTTTTTGAGGAAAAAGGGGAAAAATATTAGTTCATCTGTCTGATACTGAAATTCCATCCTAGTCAGCACAGGAGATCAGTATGTAACTCAGGGCACAAAGTTTAATCACACGAATCGCTCTTTACTCTGCAGAGCTATAAAGAGACAGCAGAGTTCCCTGAAGTCAGTTGGCTGGAGTGAAATCTTGAGCATACTGGATTTGCTCAGCACTTCAGGAAATTGGTCTAAGAATTACGCAGGATTTTTAAAAAACAGAGCCAGTGGCAGAAGCTCTGCCGTGAAACCATCCTGCCATGGAATCATCAGGCCGACGGTGTGCCAGCTTGTGATGTCTAGCCAGGAGCTGCTTGCCCTTTTTAGCAGTATTACATGGACAGTCAATGAAATCCAGAAAGCCTGCATGTACGAGGAGGTATGGCAAGGGCCGTGGTCCTGGGCTTCTGCTACGGCTCACAGCTGCCTCACAAGAATTGGTGATACAGGTTGTCTTACTACCTATGGATCCCTGCTGACAGCACAGGATGCGTGCGGCTTGTTAAATTTAGAGAAGCCATAATCATGGTGAATCTTCAGCAATGCAAGCTCAGCCCCAGAGATGCACACACAGGTTGCTCATGGATGACAGCTGTTATAAAAAGGATTCATTTTAAATGTCTCGCTAAATGTTTGCAGGGTCTGATCATAAAGCTCAGAGTAATGGTTGAAAAATCTGATCGCACTGAAGTCAACAGCATGTTTACAGGTAGTGTTGATTTGTGATTCCATTCACGGTGCTGCAGAGCACAGGTGCCATTCCCTAACCAGCTGTAAACATCAGCTCTATCTTTATTCTCTGTTGTCTTAAGGTTACAATGATATTCATGGCTAGTTTGTAGGAATACATTCAGAGTCTTCTGCAAACACACTTCTGCACGAATTTAGCAAAAATCCTTTATGTGTATTCAAGAATTCATTCCCATTTCTGAATTTCCAGACTTCATGGCTTCTGTGTCTATCTCTGGGGCCTAATCCTGCATTTACTAAGGGTTAATTTACAGAGATTTAACTTCTATTGTCAGTGTTGATCTGATCATGGAATCCCATGTTAGCTAGTCCCTCACTCAAACGTTGCCCAGCTTGTGTTTTTTCTGCTGTTCAAAAACCAGTTTCGGTTTATAAGCATCCTTGGTTTGGTGCTCATCTATATAAAATCTTAATAAAATACAGGGAAGTCTTTTTTTACTGGTAAAAGCCAAGCTTGTCTGCAGTGCTTTTGAAAGAAGTCATACAAGAAGGCTTTCCTTTAAATAATACTCCAATGATTTCTGAGAACTTTATCCCAGACATTTTCCAGGATTTAACATTATCATGTGGCACAGCGTGCATATCCCAAAGATGCAGCTGAGGGAAAGAATAGAAGGGGATGCAGAACTGCCGTCCTTTTTATTCCACTACATGTTCATACAACTGTTCAGAAAATCACTGTTAGCGCTAGGCTATTTTATGCAAGCACCATACTTGCTTACTACCTGTGCATAAACCAAACTAAGCATAATGTGAACAAAGGAACACCTGCTATAGAGAAATAAAAGTCTTGCCAAGAAGGGGAAAAAAAGTTGTTAGCTCTTAATCCTGTAAGTGTTTCAGAGTGTGAAGTAAAGGGATGATGATCTGCTTATTAGACTTCTGATAACATCCAGCTGTTAGCCTAGTGCTAGCAGTGATTTTCTGAAGAGTCAGCTGTGTCTGCCTGCCCCAGCACAGCACCTGACTCACTGGATTTAGAAGGCTGGAAGCTATGAAGTGATAATATTATTAAAAATACTACATATGAAAGTAGTGGTACAGGACAAGACAGATGAAATCTTTACAAGAGTTTTACTTCGACAGAAACTTTTCTCTTGGCTTCCAGGCTTAGGATGTAAACGGCAGGAAGTTTGTTTTTCACTGGGAGCTCTCAAAGCAGTCGTAGGGTCGTAAGGAAAAGCAGCCTAGAACTAGTCACACTTCATTAGCAGTTCCAGTTCAGTACAAACCTGCTTCTTGTTCCAGCAGATCGAAACACAGCAGCCCGGCACAGCTCAGTGCTCCTGTCATTTGTAAATCAGGAGCGCTGGCTAGGCAGAGTGAGCCTCACATCCTAATAACCTGAATTCACAGGGCAAGGGCAACCCTCATCAAAATGGCTGGGCTGTCCAGTTTGCAGCAGTGGCCACAGCAGATGGCACAAGGATGCAGGGGACACTTGGGTGCCTAGCGGAAAGTTGCACTTCTCTGGTCCTCCGCTGCTCTTCCCAGCTGCTTCTGTTGTGTGTCCCCCCCCAGCTGGGTGCATCTTTCACTACCTATAGGAAAGAGTCAGTGAGAACTTGGAGCATGTGGTTTGCCCGGTTAATTAACCTGATCAAACATGTTTGCCCTGTTCTAGGAGAAAACATAAAAACATGACTTGTAGTGCTTGGAGTAATGGAGATCATAGAATCATAGAATCATTATGGTTGGAAGAGACCTCAAAGATCATCAAGTCCAACCATATACCAAATGCCACCAAGCTTGCTAAACCCACTAAACCATGTCCTGAAGCACCACATCTGAATGTTTTTTGAACACCTCCAGGGATGGTGACTCCACCACCTCCCTAGGGAGCCTGTTCCAATGCCTAACGACTCTTACAGTGAAGAAGTTCTTCCTAATATCCAGCCTGAACCTCCTCTGGCGCAACTTGAGACCGTTTTCTCTTGTCCTGTCGCTAGTTAACGGGGAGAAGAGACCGACCCCCACCTCGCTACCTTTCAGGTAGTTGTAGAGGGCGATCAGGTCTCCCCTCAGCCTCCTTTTCTCCAGATTAAACACCCCCAGCTCCCTCAGCCGCTCCCCATCAGACTTGTGCTCCAGGCCCTTCACCAGCTTTGTTGCTCTTCTCTGGACACGCTCCAGCAGCTCCATGTCCTTCTTGTAGCCAGGGGCCCAAAACTGAACACAGTATTTGAGGTGCGGCCTCACCAGCGCAGAGTACAAAGGGAAGCAGGTCACACAACTGCATTTATACGGCTAGGTTACTGGTGTTTGTTAGTGCTTCAGACCCAAATCACTCTGGGTGGCCTAAAAAGATAAAAATGAGGCTTTAGTTATATGGCCTTTCTTAACAGGTTTGAGCTGAAGATGCAGAACCTTGGATATGGCCCCAAAGGTTAGTGACATTTGAGTTAAGCGTTTAGTTTCAGGAGGCGTTACTTAGACTCTTCAGCCTTAAAGTTCTGGTCTAGATGCAAACCCACATCTATATTTTGGATCCATCTTTCAGTTTGGATCCTCTCTGATTCCTTTCAAACCTCATGTGGTGGAGTAGAGGTATCTACATAAAACTCTGCAATACGAGAGATTTTTCTATGGAAAGTAGGAAACCACACCCCATCATCCTTCCAAAAAACCCTCATTTATACCTGACTTCTGCCATGTGGGAATTCGGAGGGGGAAGTTTGTTGTAGACCATGATTCCAGTGACAGAGTTCTCTTGTTATTAGTGAAAACTATGTTTGCATCTAGAAGCATGTTCATGCTTTCCAGTAACATCATAAACCAGGTGCTAGAGATAATACAGTAGAGGAAATACCAGTGACTTGACATATGGTGCGTTTAACAATCCACCACTGAAATAATTCTCACTTGAGTTTGAAATGGGAATGTATCATGGTAGAAAAGCCTGTATTCCACTTTCTTCTCTTCTGCTGGCTACCAGACATTTTATTTCACATTGGTGTGAGATCCTGTAACATGAAGGTATTTCCTGGGGAAAGTAAGCAAGTATGAATGGGACAGAGCAGCTTTGCAAAAATATCTGCGACATCACAGATGTCTGGCTATGAGAGAACTGGCCAGATTTTTCTGTGAGGAAAACAAATTCCTTAAAAAGGACAAAGAATCCAGATTATATGGTCATTGCAAAAAAAAAAAAAAAAAAAAAAGAGTAGTCTCTCTTCTTTGATGACAGGATAATCGAGTTTGTGTTTGAAGCTGTGGTTCCATGGTTCCAAATTTATTTTAACCTGATAAACTGGTGATACTTCTGAAAAGGGCAGCTCTCTCCTGCCCCGGTCTACAGCTGCTGTTCACACTGGCTTGTTTGTGTAGGGCTCTGTGTGTATGTGACAAGACAGCTGAAGGACCAAAATCCAGCTTTTGATGATGTTACTCTGCAGTTGAACGAATGCCCTGATCAATCCTGTGGCCAGAAGAACACTGGCATCAACCCAGGGGCAGAGGCGAGAGGGAGAGCCAGGCTGCCTGTTTTGGCAAGTGCAGAGTTTGTTGACTAGAGGTGACCATGCAATCGGGGCAGACTTAGGCTGCCTCTTCCGCAGCTGGAACCTCTTCTTATCTCAGAGACCGCCTGAAAAGATAAAAGACTAACATTTTGACACCCAAGGAAGTGGTACAAACCCTGGGAAACACAATTTAGGAATCACTTTAAATCTATTGGGGTTTTCAAAATCAGTTATTTTGAAACTGCTGTGGGAGGGCGGGCATTGCATACTTAGTAGTTCATACCATCCCATAAATAATTATATTGATGACAAGTATTTAATTTATTCATTTTTCTTATGCAGTTTCCCCACTTCATCTACTGCATGGTGGTCCTGTCCTGATCCCAAGTAGAGGATCGCTTAAAACCCAGTGCAAGAATTTTTACCGTTTTTGCAGCACTTCACATTACAGTAAACATTACAGGCATGAGCATTTTGTCCGGTATCCAATCTTTGACTGTTGCTCAGTTTTTTAGCCTCAGGTGCTGTAATTTCCCATCCAAACACGGGAAATGATTGATGGAGTTTGCAAGAAAAAAAATGGCTGCTTCACTGTTAGGAAAACTTCCCAAGTAAAGAGGCAGTGAAATGCTGCAACAGAGCCTCTGGGCAGGCTGGGCATCTCCTCTGAAGGTTTGTTAAGAACAGTCTGGACAAACGTGGGCAGTTGGACTAGGTGATGTGTCTTCATGCTCTCTGCCTGCCGGTAACCGCCTGTAGGATGCTTCTGCTGAGCACCTTGTGTGGTCTCACCATCTACTGTGTCGAAGTAGGAGCAGGGGAAAAGGGCAGAAAAGGGTTTTCTGTTACCTGACAAGTGGGTGAGTGCTTCTGATAACATACATGAGGTCAGCACCCTCCCAAGGCGGGACGGGCTCTAGGGGAGGCGCACGGAGGGGTGGCTGGCAGGGCTTCCGGGCTGAATGCTTCTCCCGCCAAAGAGAGCCGTCATCCCAAAGAGAGCCGTCATCCCTCTCCAGCTGGACAGCGCAACCAGTGCTGAAGCAGGGCTGGCTTTGTAATGATGGGAGGAAGCTTAAAGGTACAAAGAGGACAGCTGGCACTGGAGTTAAACATATTAAACCCCTGTTTTTTTCTGGAGGTGCAAACATCTTTTCTAGAGTAATGACACATAGTTGTAATAATGAACAAGTTACAGCCATGGCCAGCAATTACGTCCAGTATAAGCAGGAAAAGGAGTAAAGAACAAAGCAACAAGTACATCACCACCACAATAACCAGCGTGGCTACACACTCCAGTACACGTACTTTGCTGTGTACTTAATCTTGTATTTCAAAAATCAAGCAGACTTGATCAGCTTTTACTCTCTTTGCTAAAAACAACGGCTGTAGTCAGCCAGGATCTGTATGACTTGAGACCATCATCTCACATCGTTGTTTCAGTGTCCAACGACATCCAGAGAGGAATGTCTAACCTTGGACTTTGTCGGTCCAAGCTGCATGTAAGTTACAAGCTTTCCAGCTCCTGCTAATCAGGAATTTCCAGAAACAGGGAATTAATAAGCAAAAAGAAAGGATCAAACAACAAACTAAGACAACAAAAAATAGAGGCTATACTCTTGAAGCTTTGGGACAATGCTTTACTTCAAAATGTAGCAGGAGAGGGCAGAAAAAGCATTACCTTTGCAGTTTCTCTCGGCGCGGGCCTGCAAATGTTACTCTTCTCTGGTTAGAAGAAGAGATAGCGGAGGTGAATTAGAGAAATAAATATAGAGTTCTGCTGTCAAGAGGAAGGTACCTTTAGAACCCTAAGTATACTAGGGAGCAAGAACTATTGCAGAAATAATATTACAATTTAATTCTATTTAAATTATATAATTTTAAAACATCGTGTCATAGCTTCAACAATAATAACGTTAACAAGGATTTGTACCAAGTTTTGAAGAACTCGAGGCAGATCAAAGCTTTGGAAATGCCCAAGTGTCCTTTTTAATGCTCTATTTACCCATTCAGTCCAAAATGCAAAACTTATTCTGCTTAAACCCCTGAATTTCACATTTTGGAAAGCCAGTCATTTAATACTTCAGTGTGCACCACAGGACCTAATCAGTTCTATAAGCTGCTCATGTTTTTTTCTTTACACTTTACAAATAAGAAGCCAGGCAGCAACAGCTACAGCTATTTTTCCTGGCAAAGAAAACAGAAACATTATATAAGTGTTTATGTCAAATGACATTATAATCATGTTTTCCACATGAATATATCTATTTTTAGAGATACTAATGAATCTTTATTATTTGCTTCCCTATAGAATTTCATACGATCCCACAAGGTACCCTAAATACATTCCCGAAGCGTACTGTCTGTGCAAAGGCTGCCTCATGGGGATCTTTGGCGAGGAGAATTTTCACTTCCGCAGCACCCCTGTGTACATGCCGACAGTCATCCTCCGTCGCACGTCGTCGTGTGCTGGGGGCCGGTACGTCTACACAGAAGATTACATCACTATCCCAGTGGGCTGCACTTGTGTACCTGAGCAAGAAAAAGAGGCTGAAAGTGTAAATTCCAGCATAGATAAGCAAGAAATGAAGCTGCTGGTAAGCCAGAACAAGCTGTCATCAGAATGAAGAATATATAAAGAGTCATGTTACAGTATTGGCTTCATGTCATCATTTCACCACCTCAGGAAACTGCACCACAGCAGCAAACATATTGACTTGTCCTCTTTTTCTATTTACAGTTATTTCAGTTATAAGATTGAAAGTTTTGTCCAGTCACTCAGATCATTGGAGATGACAATTCATATTAAAAGCTTCTTTAGTTCATGTAAGTATTTGTTGCAAATTCCAAAGTCGCTTTTTTTCCCCCCTTAGAGCAGAACATTTTATCCTTGCTTATTCACAGTAAATTTTAGAAGATGATGCAACTGTAAGACATGCTAGCTATTACTATAGCAGACTACTGGTTGGAGATATTTTTAAGGAATCTCTTCTACTCTGCTTTTAAATACTCTGATATAAAAATCACATAGCTGCCGTACATGTGCCAAATCAGCAGTTTTAATCGGCAGGTTTCTCAGGCTGGGGGAGCCTTCCTTTATATTGCACATCTCAACTCCAGGCAGCGTTCTCGGCTTGTTACAGCTTTGGCTATTTATACACTACAGCAAGGAAACCTTTGCTGAGTTTGAGTCATTCATGAAACAATATTCTATGAGTTTGCTATTTTTAAACTTGCCAAATTGCTAAGGGTACCAAAGTGTTGAGAAGAAGCATGCTAGATATTGTAGAACTGCAGCGGGCTTTTCCGATGTGGACCAAGTCTAATTACACAGAATGTTATCACTTAGAAAAAACACAGTTTGGGTCCCAAGATTCTATATTAGATTTAATTCATCGTTAACTGCTTACCTGTTTCTTGTGACAAAACTGTATTCTGTACAGTTGAAAGGCCAAAACCTTTTTCATGTCAGGAGAGGAGATTCCCCATTAAAAAAAAAAAAGTATGAAGGATCAGCTTCATCTTGAGTACACAGGCTAGGTTTTAACTTCTACATGCTACACTGAGGCGAGTCCCAGCCAAACCAAACTGATTTATACAATTAGTGTTACTCATTTTCCCCTGTGCTACATGTAAAGGAAAATCACCTGCAAAAGATGCTGGTCTGCGGAAGAGAAGTCTTCCATCTTTGCAGCTTACAGGAATTTGATGGCAAGCCGTAATGAGAAACCCTGGCTATGCAAAAACTTGCATTTCCAGAACAAGAGACTGAAGGCTGACTCAGTCTAGTGAACGAGAATTGGGAATAACGAGGCATACCTTGCGTGAACATAACTCCTCAGAGGGCCACAATCACCAAAGGTGATAAATCTCTGAATGCACAGCAGAGAATGTCTTTTACAGTTGAAGGATCATGACTGCAATATCATTACAAAAAGGAATAAATACCATATGCAGCAATGTATTTGCTACACCAAGAATCTCAAAATTGAGCTTCATTCATAGCAGAGAAAGTCCCTACGCTACACAAACACACACTTCTGTGGAGTCTCATTGGATGAAGAATGGAAAGCTAACAAGAATGAAAATCATATGACAACTCCTTGTGTTGGTGCTTGACTGTGCTCTTTATGACTCAGTCTAGTAGAATAGTATTTTTATAATGCAATCTGTGTAGCTTCTTAGAAAGCCTAAAACAGCTTTAAGAACTCCAGAAACCAATAAAAGATTCCCATCACAATGTCAGATTGAAGTTTATAAATGCATTTCTTGCGCAGATGCTTTTCCCCAATTCTGCTTGTCTTTAGATCTGCGTTTCCTCAAATTGCGATGCCTCTATCTCAAGGGGATTCGCAAAGGAGAGTTCAAAGAAGGTCATGAAGTGTTTGTACTACTCCGAGAACAGCTAATTGCCTAGCTGCTGCCTGCAATTATAGGTAGTTACCTGTTCCCTGGAGAATGTAAATACTTGCAGCAATTACATCCACTTTTCCTTCCTCCTAATGTGGAAGGACTTCTCACCCTCTGAGAAAAGGGAAATGGTGACCAAAGACACAGGGGCTCAAAAGGGAAGCAGACCCACAAAACTGGAGAGACACTGCGTTAGGTGATGCTTCAGCAGTCTAACCTGTTTCAGTGTCACTATTAAGTTGTGGGGTTTTTTTCTCCACACACACACTTCAGACAGGGGGAAGTTGGACCTTCAGACTCCACAGCATAGAAAGCGAAGTCTTCACAATAAAAGGCAGTAAAAAGTCCCCCCAAAGGACGATAAAAAAATGCCAAACCACAGAGCCCTTCACAGTTAGTAAATGCCCAGAAGGGCTACCAGCTGAAGCTCTGGCTAAATGCTTACCCTCCAGCAAAACTCATCTGTCTGCCCACACGCTTTTGTTACACAAATTTGTCTGCAACAAAGTGGATTTATTTGCATTATGTGGCAAAAAAACCCCTCACTTTTTGTTGCAACTCTCTTGCAGGCATAAATTACGGAGTCACTTTGAGGTTTTCAAGTAACTAGAGCATGTTCTGGGAATTCCTGGGGGTTGCAGGCTAAGATCAGGTAAATGGAACATAATCGGGTTTGCCAATCCAGAAAAACAGATGCTTTAGCTTACATCTAGCCTCAGGAATTGGATGACTGAAAGGAAAGTACTAGAGAACTGCAAAACCTCAGTGGATCAATAGATTATGTATTTTGGCGACCTCCTTCTCCTCGTGCGGCAACAAGAGCGGAAAGCTTCCTATGGTTACAAGCAACCTCACGTTATCTTACTCCGAAGCCCATTTTCCTTTTTTAATCCTCACCCTTTTCTGTGTCAGAGTTTTTAGCTGAGCCCACTTGCTTCCCGATCCAGCTTTCCAGTTAGGTGTCTCTTAAAAGCTGTGTTTATGTTTTAGCAGGAGCAACTGTTTGATAATAATTTGTTAGTGAACAACTGTTTGTTACTACTTAACATCAAGAACTAATAGCTACACAAACATTTGTTAACCTTCAAAGTATCTTTCCATATATAAACCCTTTCCATGTTACTCATGTGGGAAAGGTCGAGTAGTAAATGTAGTTTGCGTTTGTTTGGAATTACTTTTTTTTAAAAGAGCTCATCACATCATGGATTTATATCGGTTTCCCTTCAACTGTGGTGTGACATTTTCCAGCTTTTAGCCCTCTGGCTACAGCTGCCGCAGCCTTGCCTTTCATTTGCATGGGGGGGAGGGAGGCTTCACTGGAGTTGCTTCAAGGCTTCACAAACTTGACAGAAGGCAGACACGAAATGCCTCATTGAACCAACTCCAGGCCCAATAAACGCAAACAATTCAAAGCTGAAACTATCTGGCAGCTGCAGCTGATTTGAGAAAAATTTTGTTGTGCCAGGAAAATCTTTTCCTTCAATGAGGTTGTCCCTGGAATACGTTAGGAGCCACACAACACAGAACAATATCCTCAGTAAAGAGATTATTTTTCTTCTCTGTAGTATCACTTAAGATTAGATTGGAAAATTCACATCAGGCAGGAAGGCTGAGAAAAGCCCGAGATGCTAGTTTTGGTTTACTAACCAGTCATTACATGAAGGTGTTTGAATAGGCGGAGGTCTGCAGCTGCAAGCGAGCATGAAATCGCATGGGGGAACACAAACATGAAAGCAACAAGGGGAAAAGGGAAAAAGGCTGTGATGTGCTCAGGAAGTATAAACACCCATCAATCAGAAAGTATAAACACCCATCAGTCTCACTGGGCTTAGGGAATGGCGATAATTACCTGGACTACGGCACAGGAGGGAGATGGAGTCAGTCCAACACGTTTTGCTGAGTAGTGGCATGAGCTACCTCTTGGTTTTGCTGTACTCCCATCTAAGGAGGCTGCAGAACAGGAGCAGACCGAGTGGCAGCACAGCTCTGACACTGGATGACAAGGGGCTTCTGCAACCCCAACCCAGCCGCCCTGTTTCCCACCGCGCTGCACCGCACCAGGGCTGCACCGTGCCGGGACCCCAGGGAGGGTGACCAAACCAGCCACTGGAGGTAATTCCCACTTGCTCTGGTACAGAGGGGTGAAGGCAGTTGTGTGGTACAGAGACGGGCTAACTACGCAACATCGAGCTGAGAGCAACACCGTTTTTAAGGGGAAGTGCAGATTAGATCTTAGTGGAAGCGGTACCTTGGACTTCATGCAACAGCATTTCTAGAAATGTTTCATTTGTCATCTGGGGTGAGGCGCAGACAGCTGCAGTACATTCTCTTCCACCTACAGCTATCGGCCTGTGCACAAGCCCCCAGGTTTCCTCTGCCAAGCACCACGTTCATACCGGCAGCAGGGCACTGAGACGTCCTGCTGCTGCACGGTGCCTGTTACTGCAGCCAAGAGGCCGTAGCACATACGACTCTGCAGTCATAAATACCACTGGCAAAGCAGGATGGTGGTCACACTTCACCACGGTCTGGTCCAATAGAAAGTCCAACCATGAGTCTTCTACAATAAAGCAAGCCAATCACTACTGGACACTGAAGGTTTCTTTCATGAGCCTATTACAGAAAAAAAAGATTCTTCTGTCACATAGTATTTCTTAAAGTTACTGCAATGGCACAAAGTACAAATTCACTGCAAATTTTTGTGACTTGCAGCCTTCTCAGAAACACAGCTACTTCCTTGGAAACAGGTACGACAAAAATAGTTTACCTCCTACCGCTGATGAAGGCCATGAATGCCACTAGTCAAGCTCTGCTTGGGCAGCCGCCTGCACTCACCCGGCTTTTAAGAGGGAAGCTGGTGGACAATGGGGTGCTCTGTTGAGTGCATCTACACAGATTTACGTGTCCCCTCATTTTCATAATCCTGCATCTTCACAGTGCCTCTTTTCAGCGCCATCGGACCTACATGTGAGATGCAGCACGCACTTACTTGGTGAACTGAATTTCTTGGCACAACTGAATGATGTACTTTTTATTTTTTTTAAGAAAGGTCTCTGATGAAATTAGCAAAGTTGTCTTTTACTGCTGATATAGAGAGCCCAAGAACACGCATTTACCAAAATGATCCAGACAACTGAAGGCATTAATAGCAAAGCAGCAACATAGGTGAAGCTTGTATTTGAATGGCACGTCCCAATTTAGGTGGGTGGTGGGGGAA